TAAAATAGCATCAGTAAATAAAGAACTTAAATTATTCCAATAATATTTAAATCCAGATAAAATTTTATTTTATTATTATTATTTATATGATAAATAAGTAGAGAATTTATATATTCATCCTATACATTTATTTAACAATGCAATATATCTAGTATGATCATTGTAATCAATAGTTAGAGAAGTATGATCACAGAATGGTACCAATTAGTTAAATTATATCAATCCTAGATGATGTATGACTACATGAAGAAGACAAATTTAGCAATTATTAGATGCTTTATAAACGTGCAAATATTTAGCAAGTTGTTACAATTAAATAGGAGTGCTTAATGTACAGAATATTGGGCACATGCTCTATTAACACAAGCACCTCCAATTACTTAAGACCTGTTGATTTTAAGTCTCTTTTTTAGTAGACTAATTTGCTAGTTTAGAGTGGTTCATCTTAATTAAGAAACACTCAACCATGAATCACAATTAGCCTAAACTCATGTATTAATTCCAATAGTATTAAGATATAACCTATTAATACATGTACTAGTAGTTGAATCTCCAATGCATTTTTATAGCCAAACTAACTAATTTGCATGAGTTTAAACAACCACATTGGTCTCATATAATTAAAAAATGTTTTTACCTCACAATATATACCAAAAGAGTTACACTACAGTCAAATTTAAACAATTTGCATGAGTAAATTTAATAACTTAAATTTCATTATTTGTTCAAAGTCATTTCATAAAATGCTATTCCTGCAATTCACAATGCGTTTATTAAATAATTACTGCATGATAGCATGTTTGATTCACAAGATGTTAAATCTACAACAGTGCATTGATCCAAAAGAGCATAAAAATTAACATAATCAAATGCATTTAAAGAATTCTTTAAGCAAATCACTGATTCACAAGCTTTTCCAAAAGTTATTAATTTACAATATATAATAATTGGTAGTTTTGAATATTGCAATATTGTTTCAATAATTTACACATAATCTAACCTCACAATCAGTTGCATCCATATGGACAGTACATACTTATAACCAATAATCATTGCATTCATTATTAGTATTATTTGTAATGCATAATATTAAATTTAATGAAATTATACTATAATAATTCCTCAAACTAAAGCATTAAGTTTAAAATGCAAGATCAGAATAACAATAAGCTATCCAAATCATAAAATTTGCTTAATTAATAGTCTAACTCTAATTAGAACATTTTTTATTAATACTAGTATTTGTGCCATTTATTCTTGTACTCACCCAAGCTGTGCAATTTGTTTATGTAAATTAGTTAACAGTGCTGTTTATAGATGCTTTAGCAGTGCAACAATTATTTCTAGTATTAATTGTGTAAATTATAATGTGAAAGAAATGCATTTAACATGTTCTATTAACAACCACCATAAGTTGAATTAACAGTTTAACTACTCAACCAATCTGAACAATTTTTAATTTAATTCTTAAAAATTATTATAAGTTTTTCCAAAAGAATTATGATTTTATTGGGTCTAGAACGCCTATGCTTAAATATTTTGAGCAGATTTATTATCTAAAAGTTTATTTAAAATTACTATAATTTATCCTTGTTCCTAGTGATGCTCCTGATAGTCTTGTAATTAAATGTAGTATCATTTATGTATTAATACAGCTAATAATGCTGAATAAAAAAAGTTTTTATCTAATTACTTTTATTTATTGAAAGTTTCTTATTTCACATATAGTATTTGAGAAATTTGCTTTTTTACAGGTATTCAACCATTATTTACACAAGTTTAATTATTAGACACACTACAATTACTATTAAAAGAAGTTTTGTTCATTTGTACTATTCCTATTCGATACCGATAAAAGATATCCATACTTCATAATTAATATGACTAAATGTTAAAATATTTATTCCATAATTACTAAATTTACTTTGAGTCATGTGTGCAGTCCCTGCAGAATCTACAATAAGAAACCTAATTTTAACAATTAACTTAGTTTATAGTTCCAAATTTTTGATTTTATGGTTTATTTAAATCACAATATAATGCAAAATATAAGTATATGAATTATTTACATTTGATACCCACCAAAACCTGAATTATTAAAAGCCTTATCTATTCAACTACCATTAATAAATGCACAAAAAAATTTCTAAGCATTAAATCTGTATGAATTTATTTAAATAACTGCAAATTTTTTCATTTCAATCAATATTATTACTACTATTTCAGCTTTCACAATTGTCATATGTAAATGTTGTAATTGATGATGAATTATTTGTGCATGTTCTTCAAGTTATTATCGTTTTTAGTGTATTTGCTATGCAATAGGATACTTAAAATTAACAATTTCTAATATTAACCACAATAATAAATTAGCGCATAATTATCATACGTTCCATCTTTATAACTTGCATCTTCATCATTAATAATACAAGTTCATAACCAAAATAAATCTGTCTAATTGCAAGTTAAGGGTTTGAATGACTTCATTTTCAATTAGCAATTAACGATATCACTATTAATTGAGCACATCATGATTTATCATAGCAAGCATCTATAAGTTGTTCATAAATCTAAAGAAACGCCATCGCTTCATTTGCAACCACTTTGATTATCATCACATTCTTCATAAATATCATGTTCTGAAGTATAAGTAGCTGTAAAACAAGCTTAGTCATTAGTTTGCTATTAAATAATAATAATCATCAAGAACAAATTCATTGCATTGATTTGATCTTATTATATCTCTACAAACCCTATTTTCTATTATGCATAAACTGAATTATATTAAAATAGAGAATGACAAAGATTTATCATGTGAATCTACTTTACAAGTACTTTTTGATGTTAAAACTTAAGTTGTCATCTTAACACAATAAAGCTCTTTCTATAAATCCTAATCAAGAGAACGCATGGGCAAACAAGGGTAATTAATTGTTAAATCATTATTTAGAAATTGCATTAAGGAATTTGAATAGATATTAAGAAGCTATTAATTGTTATGATCAAGCCCTTTCTATAAATTCAAAAGATGATAATTCATGGTATAACAAGGGTAATTAATAATTAATATTATTATTTAGGAATCGCATTAGAAAATTTGAATAACTACTAAGAAGCTATTTGTTGTTATGAAAAAGCTCTTTCTATAAATCCAACTTAAGATAACGCATGGACAAACTAGGGTAATTAATTGTAAAATATCATTATTGGAATTGCATTAAGGAATTTGAATAAATATTAAGAAGCTATTAATTTTTATGATCAAGCCCTTTCTATAAATTCAAAAGATGATAATGCATGGACAGACAAGGATAATTAATTGTTAATTATCATTATTAAGGAATTGCTTTAATTTTATTTGAATAAATATTAAGAAGCTATTTGTTGTTATGAAAAAGCTCTTTCTATAAATCCTAAAATAGATAACACATGGACAAAAAGGGTAAATTATATCTAATCTCATGCCATAATAAAGCTCTTTCTATTCAAACTACTCCTTTAAAATTAAAACTAAAAAGTAATTAGGTCTATAAATTATAATTAGCTAATTCACTAATTAAATTAGGGAATAAATCAGAAGCTAAATAATTTTGCTAAGCAGCATTGGAGCAAGGATCAAATGAAAAGGATTACATTAGTAATTATGAAATTAATAAATCAAACTGGCTTGAAAATTTTGGTCAGAAATCTGTAGTATTTTCCTTAATCAAAAATTCAATTCAAGCTTATTAAAATATAGAGTCTCGTGTAGTTATTTGAATTTGCAAATTCGAAAGGTAAAATATAATATGTACATTCGTGATTTACATTAGAACTCATCGAATATTTTGTATAGCTGATATTAATGAAATGAACTACATGTTCAAAAATATCAGATTATTTTTTCAACAACATGGTAAGATCTTTTTCTAAAAATTTAATTTATAATTAAGTCAAAACCTATCAATTTATAACATTAGATTTCATAAAATATGAATAAAAAATAAACCCAAAAATCAATTATCTAATTTAGTTTAATTTAATAATTCAACGCATTTAGTATTATTAATTAAAGATTTTTCATAATGATTGAATCAGCATTCGAAAATAATTGATATATAAAATTCATGCTGTTTTTAATTAAGGAATTATTTATAATAGTATGATTAATCGCATCAAAAATATTAGATTAATTATAATATCGTTAATTAATTAGTTTCTAGAAATTTCCACTTAAATGTAAGAAATTTATTGGATATTTGAAAGGTAATTAAAATACATCCAGCAAATTAGCTGTCATAAATAAGAATAAAACGACACTTTTTTTTTTCTTAAATCAAATGGACGGTTTATCTCAATGTCATTTGATTTGTGAATTTTTTTATGGTCAACGGCTTCGATGTGAAACCTTAATAATAAAAATTAATATCATTTCTTATAATCTAATCTTAAATATGGAATGAAACTAAAGTAATTTAAAAATTGATTTATAAAATAATTGATACTATATAACTAACAACATTTTGTTTTTTAAGCAAGAATCGCCAATTTGAAATATTTATATAGATAATTAAGATCAGGAATATTTCTTAACTAAAAATGTTTTGCCTTTTAGAATTTTGTTATCCATACATTCATTTAATTTATAACTCTCTCAAATAGCTTCTTAATGAGATAACTACCTAAATAGCAACTTTCTAACAATTGCCATAAGAATGATTTTAAAACGCATAAATAAATTTACGTTAAAAAACTAACATTGTTATCCAAATGGTTAATCATAAAATATTTCATTATCCTTATAATAGCTGATACAGATGACTCATCCTTATGATATTGTTTTGAATTATAATAAAATAGATTAGGATTCGTAGCAAATTCAAAAAATCATTTAGTAAATCATTTTGTGTAGAAACTTTTTAATGATAGTTCTAATTTTATTGAAGATATTGAAGGATCTCATTTAAATTTAGTAGAAGCTTCAATTTAATTTTTTAAAGATTTCCTATTAGCGAGAATTCTATAACTAATAAATATTTGGAATTTTAGATGAATTTGGATTATTAATTTTATCAATAAATATATAATTTAAATAATTAATGTAAAATTCTAACAATAATAATTCTATTAATGAAATTTATATACAACCTTAAAAGATGACTTATAAGAATAATAATGAAGCTTAGGAGGATCATAACTTATTTTTAAGTAAACATCAAATTAATCTATATTACAAGTAAGATAATTAAATAAATGAAATAACATACTCATAATAAAATAACCTATTTAATACAAATAATCTTAATTTTAATAAATAAGTCTAAATATTTGTATAAATGCCAAAGAGTTCTATCTTGCGATGTAAATAATAATTAGGAATGTTTACAACAAATTGAAGATTAAATTTAAAATAAGAAGGTATACCTCCAAATAGGTATAGATTATATTTGGGTTCTAAATAGTTAAATAGTAAGAAAACTATAAAGAAATTTTAAACTTTGCATCTTAATATAAAATGCAGTAACAAGATTATTGTAGTAGACAATCAGTAAAGATATATTAAATTGGTCAAACTTAAGGATTTTATTCTTAAAATTAAATAATATTTGGAAGATAATTTAAATTTTCCAATAAAATCTTAAGAATTATATTTTTAGGGTATCTAATTAGAAGATTATTATACATTATTTTAGTATCAGATTTAAAAGCATCTTAATCCTTTTGTTGAATTAAAATTACAAAATCTTATTTATATAAAAAATCAAAAAATAGTTAATTTATGAATTATTTAGATATGTTTTAGACAATTAAAAATTTAAAAACATTATTGATTTAAATTATTCTGATTTAAGTTATTTTCATCTATTAAATAATGATGTAATTTTAAAAGATAAATATTTACTAAGTACTTACGATATTAATCATTTATCAATACTTAAATTAGTTGAAATTAAATACATAAAATTTGAATTACAAACCTAGACTTTAACATTCCAAATAGAAAAAAAAATACTATGAAACTATATATGATGTTACAAAGGAAATAGAATAAAAATTGTAATATTCAATTGACACATAACAATTATTTTATGAAGGTGAAGAATTAGAAAATGAAAAAGGATTTTTTAATGTGATAATAATAAATCCAAATAATAAGGTTTTTAAACTTAAATAGAAAATACATGAATTTAATTCTTAAATGTTACCAGATTATTTTATGTTAAAATACAATGGAAAATATTAAAAGATGATAAATATTTATCAGATTACAATATTTAGAATTTTGATTATATTTTTGTGGAATTTGAGATGTGAATATTCATATAAATATCTATTAAAAATAATACATTATTAAATTTTCATTAATTAAAATTGTTTATTTTTCAAAAATGTTGAAGTTGATATAAATTATATAATACAAAGATGAATAATCAAAAGTATGATTTACATTTTCAAATTAGTCATTTTTAATTTAGCAAGCTAATTCAATTTAAATTTTCTTTATATATTCCATTTAAATGCACTGACAATTTTTGCTTATTTAATTCCCTATAACCCAAATTAATTAATCAGCATTTGTAAATTTCATTCTGCGTCCCTATACTTTTTTCAAATTATCATTTAGTTTAAATCAACTTGAAGGTGCATGGAATTGAACATAAAATCCATACTCAAATGTTAAAGACAACTGTTGATAGCCATACAATGATTTAATTTTTAAGGCATCTTTATTGACTATTAAAATACAACTTTTAGAGCTTCCAGTCATTTTTATAATGCAAACTTTTTTATATTCAATATATACATAATTTGTTTTTTAAGAATTGTTGTTGCAATCATTAGATCATCATCAAAAGTATGTATTAACTATTAAATCCATTATTATTCACCGTATAATCTTTTTAGTAATTACACATTCTTCATGAGTTACATATTCTAAAAGGCGATTGATATGTATGTATGTGATATACTAATTAATTATCAACCAATGAATAAATAATATTTTTATCTTTATAACAAATTTTATTTAAATAATACATTAAATAGTTACTGATAAAATTTTCCTTCATTCCAAAAACATATAAATGCATTATCAGTATATGTACAAAGATTCCTGAATTGTCACATCATGACAGAATGTTCTTTGTTTACACCCTTTGCTGTTATTAATATACAACTTTAAAATTACTTAACAACCTACATCAGTTATAATAGATTTCACATGAATTGCCATTAAAGCATACATATATTCCCAATTTGTTATTATAATAGCCATATGTCTCAAACTTGAATCACAATTATATTCACTAAATAGCCTGACATCCATTTCTTGTATTAATTGTGCAATATGTGAATTATTCATGACATTAATCATCTGTAATACACTTACTCGAAACAATATGACAAAGCTTTTAATTACTAAAAGGGTAACTAAAAAAGATATAAATTAAACAAGGTCTTTTAGGATGCAATTACATCCTACTTCTTACAAACATTTATTAGGTCCAAATTTAGAATAATAGGAACTTATTTTAGTGATTTATAATTTTACATCTTAATTAAAGATTATTCCAAACAAAATTTTAATTTCTGTAGCTATCAAATTCAAAAAATTAAGCAAATAAATAAGTAAACTTAAACTAATATTTCTGATCTCACTTCAAGCAATAAATATAGTAATAATAATTTGTATTAGAATATTTTATATTTATATAAAGTTATTCATAATTTATTTAACAAACTAACTAAAATGGATATAAGAGTAATTTTCAAAAATGATTAATTTAAAGCTTCTACTACTTAGTTTGTAATTAATTAAGATATAAAATCTGATATTATTCATCCTAAGCAGCAAAAGAAAAATGCGCAAACAAATAAAATTAAAGATTATAAACACCAATATTTTAAGTTACTAGTTTAATTACCAATTGATCTCAGTTTCATAAACCAGCATTGGGGTCCTTGATGTAAATTTCAAACCTTATTACAATTTTCCTTATGATCTATGCTTTCTTCATTTTTAATTTCTTCCATCTTAGAAAGTAATAGAAAACCAAAATATTTATTAGAATGGCTGTTCATGTCCACATAAAAGCATTTTCGATAAAAGAAAGCAGTAGTTACACCTTTCTTTATTACTTTTAAATTTCAATTTATTTTATTTTTCTATCTTCAATTTCTTGTACAGTCTATTCAGTTTAAGCTTTTCTTTTTTCTATTTCAAAAGATAATATAAATTAATAAATTTACTTACATCTTCCTTCCTTCCTTCCTTTTTTTTCTTCTAATTTCTTCTAAATGGATTTAATAAATAGTATAAATAAATACAAGCAATAAGTCTTAGTAGATAAGTTATTCATTTTAGAAGCGTAAAGCGTAATTTGAAGAGACAGAAATAATGGAAAGAGTAATTCTATTGGTTTTTGAAAGTAGCTTGTGATTTGTTTTAACTTTAGTGTCATTTCTTATTCTGGAAGATCGAAAATAACATTAAAGCAATTATGGGAGTAGAAAAGAGAAAAAAAATTAAAGAGTTTAGAAGAGAGAATGCAAATTTCATGAAGCCAAATATGATTTAGAGGTTAATAATATTTGATAATTAGAAATTGCTCTATCTTTGAGAAAATAACAATAGCTAATTGGGAAAATTATCATTATATGAGAAAATTAGAGCAATTATCAATTAATGTAAACATTTAAATGGAAATTGCCTGAAGGAAGATGAATTCGATAAAATTAAGCCTAAGTAATTTAAAATATTTAATTCTTCTTTTAATCTTTCCTATTCCAGGATTAAATTTCTTTGTTTCAATTCTTTTTAATTTTCTTCAATGATGGGTTTACTTTTTAACAATTGAACTATTTGTAATTGTTCAAAAATTTACAAAGATCATTTAATTGATTCTTACTTTCTCAAAATAGAAATTTGTGAATTATGGTCCTTATTATTTAGTATTATTGATTTAGTAAAGAATGCATTCAAATTAAACCATCCTTAATTTATAATTTAAATTAAATAATAGCCGTAATAAGCAAGTATATCATTATAAAGTCCATGACAAAACTACTTATTATTTTTTTATTGTGTTTTCTTTCCCTATTCTCATCAACATTTTAACGTGCATGCACTCCTTTTGCTCTAATAATATTAGATGAGCGGGAAATATATTTGAACAAGGCAATTAATTAATTTTATATAATTAATTAAATTATTTTATAAAAGAAATACTATATTACAAGAGAACATTTAATAAATTATTCTTTTATATTAATCATTATTTTAAAGAAAAATAGTGTTAGACTGATAGTTGCATTAATACATAATTATACCTAAGATGCTAAAAAAGAATCTCTACAATTCATATGTCTGTATATCAAGCATCTTGTTAAATAAAAAATTAAAACCCAATTTTCATAAAAAAGTATTTAATAAATGGTAATACGATTGCTAATAGGCCAATATTAGAATGGGCATTATCTTATGATCCAAAAATCATAGATGGTTGATTAATTATAAAATTACTTCTAATCACTTTTCAAAAGCACATTATCTAATCATCTTATGATATCTACTTGGTTTTCCATTTTATGTTTTAAAGTAATATTTTGCTTTACATGGTCATAAAATTTGTCTCATTATCAATTAATTTTAGTTATCAGTTATAATAAATTAAATGTTTAATCAAAAATATAATTATTAAACCTTGAATTAATTTGTAAATCAGAGTAATTCTGCTAACTACCAACTACTGTAACAAGCATCATAATTAATATATATTGTTATTATTCAATCATCAAATTACTTGTTATCACAGTTTTTTTCATATTATCCATTCTCATCCTTCTATTAGCTTTATTTCCCTTTGTTTAGGCATAACCAAGATATAATTCAGCCTCCTTCTACTTTTTAGTAGAAGCAACCACCATTAAATTTTTTTCTTATTTTTATATCAATTTCATAGTTTTATAGTTTTAGACTTCATTCTTGTTTATATGTCTATCTACTACACTTTTAATTCCTTCATTAGCGATATCTTAAGAACGAGATGGCTAAATATGAAAAAAAAATAATTGTAATTTTTCTTCCATTAGTATTAATCTAAATCAATTAATAAAACATTCATTTATTTAATAAATCAATATTCGTTATTGATAAAACTACTACATTTTTCATTATTTAATTTATGAAGGACTAAGTAAAACAGACTTATTCCATTATCTAATATATATCCTTATTGTTAAATTTAAAAATTAAATTTCTTGACCGAATTTCTATGATAATCAATAAAATTAGGTGAAATAATGTATACCTCTTCAGTTCTAATCATATAAAGCTATGAGATAACTTGAAAAAATGAGATTCAATTCTATTTTGATTTAATAGAGTTATTATTTTTCCCGAACCGGTTTTTTTATAAAGTGCTTTTTTCATTAATGTCTTACTAATTCATTTAATTTAATTGCTAAATTCAAAGCTTCAAATTGTTTTTTAGAAATACTCTCTATTTTATAAATAAAATGAAAATCTCGTAAATCTTATTTGTTAAAGTTAGATATACTAATTAATGTAGTAAAATTTTACATAATCATCAATCGTAAATCCAAATAAGAAATCTCTAGACCTTATCTACAATCAAGAAGATAAATTATATTTTTAAAAAGTTCGATTGACAGTAAATTTATGTTTGTTCCTTTTGAATATAAATGATGCCAAACATGGAATGCAAGATAATTAATTATTTAACATTTTGATTTAACTAAATGTACTTCATATTCTTATAAAAAAAATAAATAACAAATTTTATAAAAATTATTTTATTCGAAGTACTCAAACATGAAGTGATCTGCTAAAATAAGTTAGTTTGAATTGTCTCTGTTAGTTAAAATTGTTCAGGTTTTCGTTATTTGTTATTAATGGTTAATTTGTGATGATTTAATTTTTGATTGTTCTTGGCTATATATTTTAGATCATAATACATTCTTGTAAAATGTATTCTTTCTCATTTCTTGTAAGTTATTGACTTATATTGCTGATAATTCACCTTGTTTTATTAGACTGAGTATGTTGCTATATTTGCAATAAAAGCCTCCTAAATCAGTCTGCTGTTTAGAATGTCCATTAAATTATACCAAACATATCTATCATACTTTTGTGTAAGACGAAAAGTATTATGAGCATCTCCTAATAGATTTGAAGTGAACTTTGATTAATTGAAGAATTAAGCACTAATGTTAAATGTATTTTCGTAACATGAGATTTTAAAATATTATATCAATTGTTTAACATAAAATTCCATTGAACTAAATTAGGTAGTCATATTTGTAAAATTAGTATTAATGCTAATCCACATATTTGTATATCAACCAAGAATTTACTGAGTTTTCAAATTTAACTTCAAGCTTTGTATTAGTACTTTTTCTTTTTGATGGAATTCTTTCTTTAGAATATATTTAGACTTTTTAATCAAGTAGAGAATTGATAACTTAAGTGATTCTTTTGTTCAAGGCTTAAAGAAGTTACTATAATGGGAAATCACTATCAAAATCTTAGAGTAAGCACAAAAAATTAAAAGAATTTTTAAGGATTCCATATCAATTAATTAATGCAAAATTGGTTTATTAAGGGATATAAATAGTGCTATAGATAATATTGATTTAAAATCACTTTTCCAATATCTTAAAAGAAACCCATATGATTAATTTTAAACTGATCAAGGATCTGCAATATATGATTATTATTATTTTTGATTTTTTCTAAAATAATTAATAATATATCATAAAATTTTCAACTGTACCATTGAAATAGTTACTTCAATTCTAATAATATATCTAAAATATTTGTTTAATAAATCTGCCATTAACGTTAATTTAGGTATAATGCTGAAATAATGAAAACAGAGAATAATACAATAAAAGTGAAATTGAATCTTTTTATAGATATTTTAAATCTCAGTTGAATATGAGTATGGGTCAAAGTCATGTGGATGGCTTAATTGAAGAAGCTATTAAAAATATCTGTTCTCATGAAAAGATAGGAAAAGAGAATTAGGAACTATTTTGAAAATAAATTCTACTTTGAAGCTTAATTATTTTAGATAGGCGATAATTTATAAATTATTTTAATTAAAATGACTGATGAATTTCCAAAATAGAAATCTAAAGTCAGAGTGAAAGGGAATGTATAATAGAAGAGGAGGATTTGCAAGATTAGAAATAATTATAAAATGAGAATTATTCAAACATGTTAAAATGAAAACTGAAGATGGATAAAATTCTTGATATATTTATGTTATGAAGCCAATTCTTGAGAATGTACACTTTCAACATGTAATACTTTCAGTCTAATAATATCAAAGAATGATAATTAATTTAATTAGAAAAAATAATGGATTTTTTAAGTGGAAGAATAACATAAACTTAAATAAGCAGCACTTCAATCAGATAAATTATAGCATATAATAGAAAGAAATAGAGAAAAAGAGGAACTTCAAGAATATTTAAATGCATAAGTCTTTTATGTATTTTGAATAAATTAATAACTTTTTATGAAAGAGGGCTCCATCAATCATTTTTACTCCCTTAGACTTTAAGAGGATGAACATTAAAAATAATGTATTATCTATGGTCAATCTTTTGTTCCCTCTAATTAAAATATATATATTATTTATATGGTAATATATATTTATGAAACAACAACATATGCAACATATTAATATAATTAATTCTAATAACATAGGATTTCATAGTATATCTTAGTTATACTAACTTTATCAGCATATTTATCAATTTTTTCAGGTATATTTCTTTAATGATTTGATGTTTAAATAGTTGAAGAAATTTTCTATTATTTCCACTAATAATTTGATTGTTATTATAGATTCAACCAAAGCATGAAGGAAGCTATTAAAAAAATCTTTCGATTCTCCAATTATTTTTTTTTATTCTTGCAATAGTTTTGCTTCTAATTATAATGATTTCATACTAAAAGTTCCTANCCATTGAAATAGTTACTTCAATTCTAATAATATATCTAAAATATTTGTTTAATAAATCTGCCATTAACGTTAATTTAGGTATAATGCTGAAATAATGAAAACAGAGAATAATACAATAAAAGTGAAATTGAATCTTTTTATAGATATTTTAAATCTCAGTTGAATATGAGTATGGGTCAAAGTCATGTGGATGGCTTAATTGAAGAAGCTATTAAAAATATCTGTTCTCATGAAAAGATAGGAAAAGAGAATTAGGAACTATTTTGAAAATAAATTCTACTTTGAAGCTTAATTATTTTAGATAGGCGATAATTTATAAATTATTTTAATTAAAATGACTGATGAATTTCCAAAATAGAAATCTAAAGTCAGAGTGAAAGGGAATGTATAATAGAAGAGGAGGATTTGCAAGATTAGAAATAATTATAAAATGAGAATTATTCAAACATGTTAAAATGAAAACTGAAGATGGATAAAATTCTTGATATATTTATGTTATGAAGCCAATTCTTGAGAATGTACACTTTCAACATGTAATACTTTCAGTCTAATAATATCAAAGAATGATAATTAATTTAATTAGAAAAAATAATGGATTTTTTAAGTGGAAGAATAACATAAACTTAAATAAGCAGCACTTCAATCAGATAAATTATAGCATATAATAGAAAGAAATAGAGAAAAAGAGGAACTTCAAGAATATTTAAATGCATAAGTCTTTTATGTATTTTGAATAAATTAATAACTTTTTATGAAAGAGGGCTCCATCAATCATTTTTACTCCCTTAGACTTTAAGAGGATGAACATTAAAAATAATGTATTATCTATGGTCAATCTTTTGTTCCCTCTAATTAAAATATATATATTATTTATATGGTAATATATATTTATGAAACAACAACATATGCAACATATTAATATAATTAATTCTAATAACATAGGATTTCATAGTATATCTTAGTTATACTAACTTTATCAGCATATTTATCAATTTTTTCAGGTATATTTCTTTAATGATTTGATGTTTAAATAGTTGAAGAAATTTTCTATTATTTCCACTAATAATTTGATTGTTATTATAGATTCAACCAAAGCATGAAGGAAGCTATTAAAAAAATCTTTCGATTCTCCAATTATTTTTTTTTATTCTTGCAATAGTTTTGCTTCTAATTATAATGATTTCATACTAAAAGTTCCTAATACAAGTATTGCCAATTCATTTAAGTCAAATAATTATAACTCTTGTTGAGATGATGGCAAATATTTTGAATTTCTTTTAACATCAAGCCCTTATTTATTTCCGTATTTCGTGTTGTTTGTTTTAGTGATTATAATTTTGTTCCTTCACTTATTCTTTCGTTTTTGATAAATTATTTTCACATTCTTAGTTTAATCTTATCTACTATATTTATTCTGAGGATTCTTTCAACTTTGATTTTTCCTCAATTAAACATTTTCTATATCAAGAATTAGTTGATAACTTTATTAATGAGAAAGAGTGACTGGAGGAGGATGTAATTCTTGAGATTCGAATCTGGTATTGGCTCAAAAGAAGCACTCAGCTTTAATTCTTTTTTTGGATTGTAAAATTTTGAAGCAATTTTTAATTTTTTTAATGATTTTGTTTCATAAATTATTCATGTATAATTCTTGAATAAATTATAGAGAAAATTCAATTGTTTGAGTTATTCAATATGAATCGTATCATTAAAATTATTCAACAATATTATTTATTAGCAATGGCTAAGGTTTAGTTGAATATCTAATGTGTCTTAACTTATTGATCAACATTGCAATGATGATTCTCCTAATTGTCATTTATGATAACAATAATAGAGAAAGAATTTATATAATGTAATATGTGTTTTATGAATTCAATCTTGTGAAATAATAAGGGTAAGATGAAAAATATTTATAATAATTCACTTCGAATAGTTTATATATAAAAATTTATAAAAAATATAGAAATAATTTCTATATTAATACTGAATCACTTTTAAATTATTATAACATGATAAGTACATATTTCTGTAGTTTAAATAGTCATATGTTTGATGTTCAAGTATGGGTATTATCAAATTAAATAAGTTAAAGTTCTTAGAATTGAGGCACAGCAGATAAGATAAGCTTGTCTATGTAGAATTCCTATGAGCATTTTGAGAAGGTTTTGGGATATATGGATAAAAATTCCAACCTTTCTTTATTATTTTCTTTTTTATTAATTTGTAAATAACCATAAACAATGGTTCAGCTCATAAGGTTAGCAAAAAAAATAAATAATTAGGTAATTGAAATAACTCACAGTAAAGTAATAGATGCTGCGAGATATGAAAAAACCAGGTATATTAAAGAAGTAATGTTATTATCATTTTTCCTTTTTTTATCTCGCTAATTAAATTGGTTCCATTTTACCATCCTTATAATGTCAAATAGCAATAAAAGTTACTTTCATTGTATAAGTTTAATTTATTACATTTTTATAAACTTAAATTATTTAGAAGGATAAAGTGTAAGATGGGTTTATTTTTTAAAATGTATCAGGTTATTATTATCTTTGTGAAAATATCTCAAATTAATATTTAAATATATATAAAGTCAATAAAGGCTATTATTGTTTAATCCTAAATAGTATGCCCATTCTCTTTCTATTTGTAAATAAAATAATTATTTTGATTATTTGCCCATATTATAATCGAATTATTATTAGTCCTGATATAAATTCATTTGCTCAGAAAATATAAGCTTATAGAGATTAAAATCTATTTTATCTAAAATTGTAACATATCCAAAATTAATTGATATATTTTAAACTCTCTGATTAAGTTCACTAGAAACTTGTAATCATTGAACTCGTCATGAATAATGATCCAATAGTTAAGAGAATAAATTGAAATGAAACAATTTTCTATTTCATATACATTCTTGCAATAGTATTCAATTATCAATTTTTTTTTCTCTCCACATTTCTTATTTTCCTTTATATCTATTTACACCCATATACCAACTTTCTTACCCTTCAAGTTGTATTCACCTCTACAAGTGACTTATTTATAATCATAAAAGATTGGATCTACTTCTACCTAACTACCAATCTTTTTCTAATCCTCTCCTTAATCATATGATCCATCACCACTAACAAATTGCCCTTAAATAATATTTTACATTTATTTATTCTAACCATTGTATTTCCACCATATATCCCATCTACCTACCTTCTTATCCTTCATATTATATTCACCATTATAAGCGACTTATTTATAATAATCGAACCCTTCATCTAATTCTATCCATGTTCCAATCTTTTTCTAGCCTTTCTTATAATCATATGATCCACCACCACTACAATATTATCACCCTAAACGCACATATTATTTCCCCAAAATACAATAATCCATTTACCTATCTTCATACTCTTTGCATTATATTCACCATTATAAATGACTTATTTATTAACCTAAAACCCTTCATCTAATTCTATCCACCTCCCAATTTTTCTCGCCTTTATATGATCCATCACCAATAAATTATTATCCATTTTGATTAAAACAACCAAGTGCATCTCAGGATTTATACTTTATGAACTTTATGTTGTACTCTAGTCATTGACAATTAAAAATTTATTTTTTAATAAATATATTATTAAAATAATATAATTAACCTTGATAGCTCTTAGATCCATTTAAGGTTAAATAATTATGAATGATTAGTTAAGAAAGGAAGATTAGATATCAAAATAAAGACGATTAAAGCAGATTTACTTCCAAGAGTTGTGAATACATGATGAAACCAAAAATAAAGAGGAATTTCTAAAATCCTTTTAATAATATTGAGCATCATCATCCTTACTCTAAACAATAACTTAATTACTTAAGAACTTTAAAAGATGATGTAGCCTTCAGTAATAGAAGAAAAATGGACCATTCTATTGAAAATTGTTGGAAAATTAGAGAAATCAAGAATTGATTTATGAAAACAAAATGAATCTTTAAATCATCAAATGAATTAGTTCTTAATCTCAAAAATAAACAGAAAATAATAATACGCTTATTGCATGAAGATAATGCATAAACTTCAGAATAGAATACATTAAATCTTCTTATTAATCTCTTTTAGAATAAAAAGATATCTCTAAAGCCTTTGGGAACGAAAATAAATCCCTTTTAAGTCAGATTTAAGGAATTAATTAAGACAAATAGCCTAAACTTCAAAAGAAGAAATTTTAAAAACTTCAAAAAAATGTTATTCTTATTAGGATAAGAAATCTCCTTAAAGATATAACTTTGTTTAATGTTCTCTAAACAACTTAAAAATGTGCGTTTTAGTAAAAGAAAACTCAATCTTAATATCTGTAGGATATTTTAATTTGCATCACAGCTTCCAATTATTAAGCAGTTATTAACAAGATGAAACTGAACTTATTGTGAGTTAACTCAATGTTGAATATTTAAGATCTGAATTTAAATAAATTTCATAGCATGATAAATAATTATTATGATTCCACAGACAATATTGAAATTAAAAGGTTGATAAAGAATAAATTTAAGATATTGTTTATATAAAATAAGAATAAAACCTAAATAGAAGAATTAAAAATTTTATTAGCTAATCTTAAATAACATTTTAAAGAAGTTGATGAATTCAAAGTTGAATCTTAGAATGGCAGAAACAAATTTTAAGTTAGTTCATGTATAAGAACAGTAATAAGGATACAAATCAAATGAATAAATTGTTAAAGCAACAAACTGTAACAGATTAGTGCTATAAGATATTGATAAATTATTACAATAATTTAGATGATTAAATAAAAATCATAGGAAATAAATTTAAATTCCAATTTATACCATTTTAATAAGATGGAAAACAACGATATCATATTAAACAATGATAGTGATTGATGAAAACAAGAAATGTGAATTATTTTTATAAAAAAAAATAAAGTCAAAATACATTTGAAATTTAATAAGAAAAAAAGAGGTTTTCTATAATAATGAAAGGAATAGATTTTAGGAGGATAAATAGATCACATAAATAAAAAGACGTAATTTATCTCTAGATGCTTAAGTATACTAATAGTTACCATATTAGAAGTTAAAGATAATTCTGGTAAAATATTAGAGACTATTGGGTTGATTAGAAAATTTGAATTAATAAGCATTAGAAATTGAAAATTAATAAATAACTTTTAAAGGTGATCCTGAAGTTAGAAAAACTTCGATTATCAAATATTTGAAGGGATTAAGAATTTGATGAAGATTATAATTCAACTGAATAAATAGAGTGTATAGATGTTACAATTCAAAATAATGACACTCCTGGAAATATGGCAGAGAGAAAATAAATAATTTGAGATACTAAAGAATATTCATATAGTATTGTATGTTTTGATGTTGAAAATATCGATTCATTTCATTCGCCATTATAATGGTTGCAATTCATATTAACTAGCTTGTAAAATTGATCTTAATAACAGATAAATTTCATAATGTTCAATATCTGGAAGGTAGTTCAGTTTGAGATAAATAGATTTAATTAAAATAAATAATATTTTAGAAAATATCAACAACAACATCATAAAGTGTTTGCGATTTATAAAAATCATATAGAACTAAATAATTTAAAAACTTCCATAGTCATAATCATCAACTTATAAGACTTAAACAGTTTATTAAATTAAGAAGAACCTCTATGGAAAGCTCATTATTTTTACTACCAATAGAAAGAGTAGCTAAATTAGTAAAAAATAAGATGTTGATGCTAAAAATCTTTCCATTTAAGATATATTATTTCAATTACAGTTTAATTAAAGTTATCCTGTTGTAAATTTAATTGGAGCAAAAGTAACTAATAAAGGTAAATTCTATGCAGGAATTGGATGTGCTTGTTTTAATACTGCATTTTAATTAATTTTATTTGAGTCTAGGTTTTTTTAGAGATATATGAAGGATTTTAAATGAATAATCACTGTTATGGCTAATCATCATATTATAGTAATAAAGGTGTCAACTTTACGCGATTATTTCATTTTATAATTATAATAACCCTCATGAATCATGCAAGTAAGAGTTATTTTAATATATATTAAAGAAAAGGTTTTGGTTCATTAAATAGCCTAACATAAAATCATATCAAATCATAAATCTAAATTTGTTTAGTATTTAAATGTTAAAAAAAGAAAATAAAGAATTGAAAGAAAGATGTAATAAGGTTTAAGTGCCTATTCAATTTTTTAAGAAAAATTTGTTTCGTTTAATCAATACAGAGAGCTCTCTAATATATCAAAGGCAATTAATGAATAACTTTGGTAAAAATTAAGAAAGTGTGCTACTCTGATTTAATTTAAAGAAGATTACACTATAGATAAGGTTTATTGGGAAAAGTAGCTTTGCAAAAGAGTCTTAGACTATAAATAAATCAACAAAGAAATTGTGTGGCATAAAAAATATTTAAAAATTAAAAATTCAGAAACTGGCCGAATAGCTTTAGTTAAAGAAATGACTATAATGAGAAAGATAAATCACAAAGATCTTATTTTGATACATGATTATGAAGAAAGTAGTTCAGGATTCAAACATAATAGTCAAATTAATCTTTAAAAAAAAGTTGAAGACTATAAATTTATAAGTTGGTTTTTGATTTAAAGTAGAGATAAGATGAAGTCGTAACAGATAATGATTAATAAGTTCCAATAGTACAATTTTAAGAGAGAAAGCTGATGTGATGTCATAAAGATATCTAAAAAATCTATAAAAAATAGAAAGGGCTTTGGCATTTGAATATAAATACAATAATTGATGGAATTTTAATTGTATTTAATATATTAGACATCATTCTGCACCTGAATACACTCCAGAATCAGATATAGTTCATGGTTAAGGAGTAGTAATATAACAATTTATTAAATTCAGGCGGTTTACACTTAAAATTGAAGCATTTAAAAATATGGACAAATTGAAGATTATGGAGCAGGAATTGCATTTTCTATATTAGAATGTGATTTAATACTTTATTTATTTCATTAAGAACTTTCCTAAAGCTAATTATGAAACATTTAATCAACATATATGTATACTGAAAACTTGTAAGGCTATGCAAAAATTTAATTATTTTTGGAAAAAGTCTTTAAAAACTTTTTGGATTATACCATGATTGTATAGAGAAAGAATTAAAAGCTGCAACAAGGATTAAAATCATCTAAACAATCAAAGAATTCTTTACTATTCCAATTATTTAGTTGTTTACATTGAATAGTATTCCTTTTAGAATTTAAATATTCTCTAATTAAATTCAATATAGACATGATTCATAAAAAATGGAATAGGGTTATCAAGTATTTCAAAATTGATTCTTCAAATATGAAATTATAATTAGCTACTTCCAATTTCGAGATCAGAATCTTATGGACTAGTTAAGGAAAACTTATCATCAGGTATAGGCTTGTTTATAATGCTTCCTCCTTAACCATTATATTCGCTTTTTATAATAATCAAATTTAGAGCGAGAGTAAATACTTCTTTACTTATTTCTCTCGGAATGTGTAAAATATTAAAAATTAACCAATTCCTCCTATTATATTTTATTGAATTCACTCTATTTGAATATGCATTTTAAGATCATAATTAGATATTTGAATTCTGAATTAATTATAGATACTTTTCTAATTTCATCAATTTATCTAATACTAACCATTTAATTAAATGAAATATCAAATTGATATTAATATTCAACTTATTTTGCTCTTCATTAATATAAGTGAATAGAAGCTTTGAAGGGTATTCATAAAAATTTTTACGAATTTAAAATTCACAGAGTGTAATTTTTTAATTAAGAATTAATATTTGAAACTTTAAAGTTTAATTTTGTTATTATTTTAAGAGCTTATATAAATATTCTAACAATATTTATTTTTTGTTAGAATTATTAATAGGGAGATAAGCTTTCTAAAAATTGTTGAAAAATTTTTAAATTAAAGACTTTCATGTAACAAAATTTCCTTAATTTAAAGTAGTATGGTTTAAATTGCGATACAGAGGATAGAGGAAGGCTTTCTAATCTTCTTGATAACAGTTATAATAAAATTGATTTAACAGATAAGGAAATAGATTAACTTTTTTATTTGATTGAGCTTTAAGTTAATAAATGTTACTTTATTATAGGCATACATTGCTGGATAATTAAATAATAGAATAGACTATGACAAAAAGAATAGATTATGTACATGTCAATATAATTATTAAAGGATATGGCTTATTTTGAGTACATAAATCCAATAATATTGACTGCTTTTTAATTGGAGTCAGGCATTAATCTTCATCCAATGATATGGAATGTAAGATAGAAAAAATATATATAGCAGTCTGGCTATTAAGGAAAAATTTGTAAAGGATGTGGTCAGAATAAATATAAAGTTAACTCCAAATTAATAAAAATTTTATATTTATATAAATGTTTGTTTTTAAAATATTCTTTTGAATTATGTTTCTTAAAAAAACAAATAACTCAGTCAATTATAAAAAAATTGAAAGAATTCTTTTCATAATTATTGATAGCCATTTATCTACTTTTGAAATAATTATAGTTTTTTTTAACTTGATTATAACTATTTGAAGACTTTCTTTTGTCGGATTATAGGATGTTATATTATACTGCTTTCAAGTATTTATTTAAATATAATTTAAGAAGCCTATTTATCCATCTTCTGTTATCATAATCATATGCATTTTATTTTCAGATGAAATTATGAAGTGAACTTTTACTTAAATATTATAGTTGTTATAAAAATATAAATATAAAAATATATGATGTCTAACGTCGTAAAGGTGTACTTAGAGAGATTGATATATGTGAAAAGTTGGATCACCCAAATATTGTTAAATTATTAATACTATTGAATCAAGTAACCTTGCCAATATTATAATTGAATGACTGTTTCAATTTATCGGCACTCAAACTGAAGCATAAGCGCAAAAATCCTTAACTTATTCTACTATCTTCCTAATATTAAATATTAAAATTCTTTGATTTATTTTATCATCATCTTGTTAATGACTAAGAAATTTAATTTTATCACAAATATTCTTTTATTTGAAGTCAAATTTGATGCATTCAATAGTACAAATTTTAAATTATTTAATGTAACTGATAGTATCTAGATTGCTTATTATTACATATTGTTACAATGAAGATCTCAATTTGTTTGAATATTGATTGTCTATGCATTCTTCATTCTCTTTGCAGTTTTGATATTTTATTAGAATATATAATTGCCTATTTATTAAAATTATATATTAAATAGATAGATCAAACTTAAATCATAATTAAATGACTCCTCATAAATTTAACCTTTGTTAATCTTGAGTCAAATCCAAATTTCCTTACATATTGCCCAAAAGAATATGATGCAAAGTATATCAGTACTACCTTAAATAACAATAGTTTTTAATTGATAATGGTATCACTATCAATAAATGCCTCTAATATAAACTGACTCTCATTTTTTCTTCTTAAATATGCTTAATTTATTAACTTATTTAATTTTTATCTTTCAAAAAGACTTATCTGTAATAACTACAATTAATTTTAGTAAATGTATATCTTAAATCACCCTAAGCTTAATTTTCGATTAAGTCTTAAATTTGCTATCTATTTTTCAAGCCCCTATTAGATTTCTCCTCTAAGTCATATATTTTAGAATATCTATACTAAACAAAATGAGGAAAGTCTTTTTCAAACTTTTCTAATATTGACTATTTCAAACCTAGTTTTCATTGTTCTAACTGCGAATTATGATACTTATCATAAAATGGAGTTTATTCTGAGAATTTCATTCTAACTTATTGTTCTTCTTATTTTTCTTAGATTCCCATATTCTTATTATAATTATATCCTTTCTTTAATCGTTCATTTAATAATTTTTTTATATCAATCTATTAATAGAATCTATATTTATAATTTTATTACTTAATTTAATTATCTAGTTAATTAATCATAAAATCTATTAATAGTGTTAACTTTTAAAATAGAGATGCTAACATGCTTTGAATAGCAGGGAGTTTCATAAGTTTCTTTATTTTTTGAATTTGTTTTTATAACTTTTTAGGATTCAGCTGTACTTTTTACATATGGTTTATTAAATTAGTTTAACATAAACTTAACTATAATTTTCTTTTATCCAAAATTTCAACAGACAAATAATGTTTCATCAATAATGATTGAATTTCTTTAAGTAAAATCATAGTGCTTTTCATTAATGATCATTGCTCAAGCCAGAAAAATATGCTATTCGTAATTCTAGTTGATTTTTATTATAATGTTCAATTAACTTCTTTTATATGTAGTTTATGAATCTTACTAAAATGACAATCAATAATAATATCCTTGTTGCAGCACTATCCTATTTCTATAAAGCAATTACTCCAAAAGTTCCAGCTTTTGTTTTTAGTTGTAACTTCTTTTGCTCTCAAAACATGAAATGTTGTGTAAATCGACAAAGTTCCTAAGGAATTAGTTTCTATATATTCTTTGTTTAAGTCTTCTAATTTTTAGTTTTACCTCTTATTTTGTTCACTTTTTTTTTGAAGAATATCTACTTTTCTAAAATTTATATGACATTTTAAATATATAAAAATAATAATTAATATAATATTTAATATCGAAAAACAACTCCTCTTGATTGTTATAATATATGCTTTAGGGATGTATTAAGCATCATAATATTGAAGGTCGTCAAATATTTGAAGACTTATTTAGAATGCAAAAAGTGTTAGCTCCTAAATAAAAAGGTTGTTTAATTTAGGATGAGACTTTACAAAAACACACTTGATCTGATGAATTCATTAGTACCTTCGACAAAATCGAGCCATTAGTTTGTGATTTAATTATGATTGAAATCATTTTTTAAAATCATATTTTATTGAATTGTTATTAATTAGATCCTATACATTTGTACCATAAAATGAAGCTATTATATGTATCTACAATAAATTTGCTTATTCCACCGAACTTCAATTAATTTAATTAAAGAATAGAAAGTTATATATTGAAGTAGTCAATTATTGATATCGACAATTAACAGCTTTGCTATAAATATGTTTGATTGTAAGGGAAATTTAGGCCATCGGCAAAAAAATTCAAGAAAAAAAGCATTGATTACATAAAGAAAAGTATAGATAATGTGGATGATTAATTTCAAAATACTGAAATATATTTAAATGATATGTTTCAACATCATAAGGTTTATTAATGATTATATTAAGCTATTATCCATCAATATACTTCATCGAATTTCTCTAAACTAGGGATGTTGAAATCATTAGCATTTTATATTAATATAATAATAATAATATTTATCTAATAATCAGCAATTAATAAATATTTTAAGTACTTAATAACCCTTTTCCTTATGAAGGATTTTATATAAATAATCCTATTTTATTAACAAATTATTTAGTCTCACCATAATTACAATTCGTCTCCAAAACTATGCCAAAAAGGAATTAAATAAATCACACTGTTCATTCAAAAATCTTCAAATATGTCAAGTAATAAATGTTAATTACGATGTTTATTTGAAAGTAATTAAAAGCACATTTCAATTAGAGGTGTCATGGTTATATTAATTATGTTTTTTTTCTTCTATTTATAAATTAATTATATATTAAAATTTCAAATTAATTTACATCTGAATCTAATAACAATCCTGAAACTTATATTTAGCTCAGTCAATAGAAAAAGAATATAAATTCAATCATTCATTTTATTAATTAACTTATGATAGATTTTACAATGTAATTTTAAATTTAATTTATATAAAAACTTATTATTATGGGTTATTTATTAAGATAATTTCATCAAAAATATTTTTTCATTATTTAGTTATCATAGTCTTAACAAAAAAGCTTATCTTTTGGTAGGCTCGGAATCTCCAAAAATTAATTTGCCATTAGATAATCTTAATCCTGCGATAATTATATAGATTTAATTAATAACTAATACATTAGGTTCTAAATCATTTATTGATCCCTCAATAATGAGGTTTTCAGACAACTTAAACTTGTTATATTATTTAAAATTTGCAAGAACATTGACGAGAGAACTATTATTTAGACAATGTTTGGCTTTGAGATTAACTTATATTTATGTTAATTAAGGATAATATTTCCAAAAGTATTAGCTGGCTCCAAGACTAGATTATATCAAATCAATAGAGTACATTATACATGGGCTTCATGTAATTCCCTTTTTTGTAGAACAAACTTTGAATTTTAAGGAATATAAGTGTAACTTTATCTAATTCCAGATTATTCATAAAATACAGATATCAGTTATAATTACTTTTAACTCAATTTGGTAGTATTCAGTAGAAAAATTAAAAAGTGTTACCAAATAAATCAATTATGAATTAAATTGTTTCTTATAGTTGTATATTTATTTCTAAAGATGAATTTAAGATTTTGAAATGCTAGATAATCTATTATAAATAAAATCCTCATACCATAAAATATGAGATTTTCTTTATTGTTTTCCGATTGAGAATCGCCTGAATTAATCCATAAGTAAAATCTGTTGCATTTTATACTTCCATATAATTAGAATACAATTTGTGAGACAGTGTTTAGTAAATGATAATAGCATACAATTGCATTGAAATATGTATTTAGATAATAGGAATGCTTTATATTCTGTTTCTTAATATAATTGCCTATTTAAAAAGTAGTTTAATATTTCAGGCATTTTTAATAAATTATATATCGCTGCTTTTCTAATATCAGCTTTTAATGTTGGTTTACTCAAATGGTAAAACGATTAATCCAATATTTCCGGCAATACCGCTCTTAAAAATGAACCAACAACATTTTTAATTTTTATTATTTGGTACACCCTGATTATTTTTATATCAATGTCAGCTCAAAATTATCTATTAAGAGTATCTTTCAAAGAAAAATTTATGGCTTATGTTTTAAAGTATATAATAACATTTCGCAATTTCTTCTGAAAAATTAAAGACTACCTTTTCAAGAAATATTCGCTTGAAACTATCTAAAATTTCCCAAACATTTTCTAAATATACAAATTACCTGTATATGGCCTGGCAATACTTTTTGATTTGTATGCTGTATTTAAAGTAACAATAACTTTCATTCTATATAGAAGCTACTATTGTTTTTTGCTAAAGCTCCTAAAACACAACCTGCTTAAAATTCATATAAGAAAGGTAATGATTGATGATGATGAGTGTGTGATTTTTAACTAATTTATTGTATGCAATTAAAATAAAAAGCTTTTAATTATAAATAATATCACAATAATTTAGATTTTAGATGTCCACCAATTATTATTTTTTATTTAAATTTTATCTATTCAATTTTTAATGGTTTAAAGATAAATTACATGGCAATTATATTTTTAATCACTCGAAAATCCTCAATTACTAATATGTAATTGTGATTTTAAAATATTCACAAATAAAATTATCATTATGGTAGTTAGTTTAACTTCTCTAAAAATAAAAATGGTTATAAACTATAATGAGCTTAAAATTGTTCTTAGTCTTAACTAATAATTCTTCTAGTTTTTTTTTCTTTACAGCTTAGCATGTAACTGAAAAATGTGACTGGCAATGCTTACTTATTACATCAACTCCAATTTTTGGTTTTATTTTTTGTTTCACGTTACTTCAATGTTCTTTAGCTCACCGTCATCATATTTTAAAGCACAGTTTATTTCTAATAAATTAATTTAACTGGTTATGGATTTTGATGTATCTAAGTCTCATTTTTAGTTGATCAAGTTATTTTGTTTTGACATTGTTGACTATTCTGTGTATCTCTATTTGGTTGAAATATCAGAATTCTGTTTCATTTATTTTTATTTATTATTTAATCTAAAATTGATTAGATCTAAGTTATTAGATTGATTTTAAATATGATCCATTTAACCATATGTAATATTAATATTATATTAGCATAGAAAAACTAATGGTAATAATGCCATATTCAGCTCTCTGTATGATAAATTATTATTAATGTATTATTTTCCTAGGTTTGTATATTAAAAGCCAGATTTTTATAATTTTATAAGATTAAAAATACTGATGATTTTATTGATGGTTTTATAGATATGCTTTGAAGATTTTAATTAAATTGGATTAGAACAATAAATAGTCATTTTAATTTTTATGGAATTTACTAATCATATAAAAATACAAAATCTTTTAAATTAATGAAGTGATTCAAGTAATCAAATATTTGAATTTTTCTTAGAATTTACAATTAATTATTAATATAATTTAAATAAATTAATAATTTCAGACAAAAATTGCTTGTTAATTATAGTTTATTGTTACTTAGAAAGTATAATTAACTTTCAAACATACAAGGCTTATTCTTTACCAAAAATTTAATGATTTTATTTCGTACTTTCGGATACAAGTGTTAAAATTTGTCTCATACAATAATATTTCTTCTAAAAATGACAAACTCATAAATAAAAATTTACTATTTTTATTATTAATATTAAAAATTAAAAACTAGGGTGTAATAATTAAGATATTCGCTAATTTATAAAAAAAACATATTAAATAATTAAAAAAATTTTTTTAATCATTTCCATTTTATTTAATCACATTCTTCTTGTAAATATATCTTTGCTATTCCCATTTTATATATTTAACTTATTAAATTAATTTTAATTAATGTTATCTTTACTCATTAAATATTGATATTGTTAGTTGATTCTTTCAAATTCCCTCTATACTTATTACTTTTCTTGATATAATTCATTGATTTTTTCTATTAATTTTTAATTTTATTATTTTAAATTCATTATTTGATTTTAATATGCCCCATTCTCATCTAATTTCAACCTTAAAACGTCTTCCATCAATAATATTTATTAGTTTAATGGTTACATTTTAATCTTGTTAACTTA